TAAACTTCAGTAATGGTAGCAAAGTCTATCTTACAACTTCCAAATAAATTAAAGAAAATTTTAATCAGGTGCCCCATTAACATAGAATTTAAGCTACGGCACTGATACCGGATTAGTAAGGCTTTACTTATTTCCTTTATTGGCGGCGCGAAGTTTAACCTTTACATTCCGATCGCAATTTAATCAATTGAAATTATGCAATTTTAGTATAAATTATCTTAAAAGTTTTGCTAGTTATAGCTGCTCAAAGTTTTACGTAGGTATATCTAGAATCCATTTCCCATCGAAAGAAGCACTACAACTGTTAATAATTTGTTCTACATCAGCCATATTAAGATATAAGAGCCATTACTGCAGTAATTGTAGACTATTAGCCACGTTTAGTATGATGTACGGTAGTGTCTTTTCTATATTTATCTTATGACATATATTTAGTAGCCCATTATTATAGACTGTAAGGATAGACTCTATGCTAAAATACAGATGACTATATACAGTAAGATGTTGAGCTACTAATAAGGTTAGAGGTAGAAATAGAATTGTAAATCATATATTAGGATATGTTTAGTTCATTGTACTTTGAGTAGTAGGAATAATGTCTACGAAATTACTGTATTCATTTCCATGTTGAATTAAAGATGGCTCGCTGTAAAATATTGTGACTAATAATAATCTGAATACGTGTAAAATATGTTAGAATACTGCTATGCTCATTGTAGCTGGGAAGGCCATCGAGAGTATGAAAGTTGGAGATATTAGATTATCTGATTGTTCTTTCTAGAAGTCTTTCAGTAGTTGTATTCGGCTAGAGTAGAGCTGTGTGTAGCTAGTCTTTGTATTAGATCTAATAAAGTTCTAATTTTCTATAACTTTGGAATTTTCGTGACCGAATTTTATCACAGCAATTAATCACCAAAAATCAAGAGTGAATTTTTATTAACTCGTATCCTTATTCTACCAGAGCCTCCCAAAGAATAAATTTTTCGAAAGGGAGAAGGCGATCTTTTTTCTGAAATTTTAAATAATCTTTTCTTTCATTAATTTTTACCTAAGAGGTCCCTGACTCCATAAATTTCTCTACCTATAAGTATGGAACTACTGTATTGCATCTTTTATCAGCTTGGTAAGAAATCTTAGTGGTCTGGAACCTTAGAATTTTAAACTTATGATACCATAATTTGATTTTTATTAGTAACAATTGAATTTTTTAAAATATGATATTTCTTATGTCTATAGTACGAATAGTGCAAATTTGCTACCTCATCATACCAGATATAATCTATAACTACTTTAATAGCCTTAAGACTCACAAACTACTGTAATCAGATTAAATGACTACAAATAACAACATCAAACTTAACTTACGCTTTTTACTTCCATTTACAGAGTATTTTCTTCTAAAACAGTTATAAGAGCATTAGATTTAGTTTTACCACAACAATATGGACAATCCTGACATAAGCTACGGTTACGCGAGTAAGTATTTAGTGTCAATTTTCAATTACAATCTTTTACATTTTTGTCTTTTTCTGAAATTGTTCTTATTTGATCAATAACAGTAATAGCAATAGATTCTAATTTGTGAAAGTTTAAATGAAATAAAGTGAGCAATTAGATTGGCTAAGACAAGTATTGACACAAACTTTTGCAGTATTTTGGCTTTAACCGTGCAAATGTTAAAGCTAAATATGTTAAAATTATTCCTTAAATCTTATTCTTCAATATAATCATGCATGCTTGCAACTGTTTAATCATAACCGAGAAGTGAGCACTAGTAAATTGGTAGAACGAACTTAATAATCGTTTGGTATTTTATTTTAGCTTAATTAAACCATCAGTGAGGATAAATTTATTTTTTAAGTAAACCAAATATTACAATTAATCAAGAAACATTTTTCTAGACTTAAAATGCAGTATAACGGCCATCCCTATTCCTATTCTACTGTCTTTAATGCAGGCTATCAATCGGTGAGTATACTAATAAACTATTGCAGCATAGACTAAATTATCCAACTATTTAAGCTAGCTACGCGAAGTACTAAGAGGCAAATGTACTATTGAAATATCTACGTAAATATTTAATCATGTTGATTCTAGATTAATTAAGATGGCAAAAATCATTAAAAACTTCAAAATTTATGTTAAAGATGAAACAATTTAGGGCATTGCCCAGCCATGAGTTTATTCCATAGGCACGGCATATTCCAACAACTGCACTGTGGCCATGCTAGGATGGAAATATAGTATAAATTAATGTTACCATGAGAGTTAAACAGCTAGTAATTCATTAAGAAAACTGACTGCTAGAGAAAGAAATACTGAATTGGATTATTCTTTATATCAGGAATTTTATTCAGTACTATTAGCACTACTTCATAGCTACACATTAAATATAAATTAAAGTAGTAATGATTGCTTGTTACTAATATCACCGCAGTTTAATTGTGTTTTATTCAATAAATCGATCTATCATGCCTACCATTCATTTTTAGTACATTTTTAAAATTCGTATTGCATCTAGTTTATATTAATATCTCTTAATAAATGTTAGTAGTTAGTATGAGTTTAATGTTATGTAAGAATGTTATATCTGTTAGCAATAATTGATACCTAACCAATAATATAATCTATCCAAACTACGAAAACCCGAATGCAATTACTAATCCTTACCATATTGACATCTCGCCCCAAAGTAACCCTGCCTACAGCGGCACTCTGCGTCACGTCCGAGTGCATAACATGTGGCTCCATTATAACATGAATCAGGTTGACAGACACCTTAATAATTACCATCAAGCTTAAATTTTCATGATTTCCACATATTTTAGCTATTACTTCTTACTTTAAGAGCAACAATGACTTACTGTAGAGTCTGAGAGTTATAATTTATTAAAAAAATGAGTAAAGACGTGCCATTAACTAATGCCCTTAAAAAAGTCTTATACCTAGCCATATCTATTCCTACAAATATCATTAACTTGCCAACATTTTATCTGATCTAACTATAGAAGATGTAATTTAGTTTCATTGACTAATTACTTATGTTGTCCGTACAATAGCCATTACGGAAACAGCTCGAGAATATTAAGTATTGTTTCTCAGGCAAAACATAGATGCCGCCAGTACATACCAGTAAAAGACCCAAATCTTACTATAAGATGCTGGTCTTATATAGCTGTAATAGTCAGTTACTGATTACGCTAATAACAACTAAAATGTAATTTGACCTTAACTTCCGCAGTCACTCATACTTCTCAGTCGAAAGCTTCACTATTTAAAGCTTTTCAAACAATGTCATATGTCATGTCTTAAAGTTTTGATGTTAGAGTAGTGTCTTAAACGATGGTATATTAAAGTGCAAACGAGTTCTAGACTAAATCCTTTGGATTGCATTCGAACATTGTTTAATGGAGTATTTATAAATATCTGTTCACTTACTTCCTTCGCAGTGTCCTCCGTAAAATCCAGATTGACAGCTGCATCTGTAATGAATTGTATTACCTCGAACATGGCTTACTGAGCATATTCCATTATTCTGGCAACGATTTGGCTGACAAGCATCTTCATTGAGTATGCAAATGGAAATTTTAGAGCACAAGATAGCAGTTATGCATAATATTGACATGAACCCGATCGATTTATGAATCGGTTATTCATTGGCAATCAAAGCTTAGTACATCTAAAATACTAGATCGCCGTTTATGACTGCTACTGTTTGTGTGGTTATGACATGTTCATGATAAATAGTGCTTAATAAATGTAGCGCTGGACTGGAACTTATGTATCAATTGAAGCTTGAAAGTGAATAAATGATAATTAAATGGGTTTACAAGTTCTAGTTCAAACATGGTAGACTAGAATTCTTCCTATAAAATATCTGATCTATGGAGTATTATAAGTCCGAAAAGCAATTTAGCTGCAGAAATGTTCATAATTGTTTACAGCGAAAGGTTGCAGAACTATCCTCATAACTTTAGGCAGGTCTGTTACGATAGAGAAAGTAATTTGATTTAGCATACTATTACTATTGTTAGGCTATAAATGCTGAAATTCTATATTCGTTATAAAATCCCTATTCACTCAAAAAATAGCGACATACATTCACAAATTTTTGTACAATATCTTTAGGAAGTAAAGCAAGAAATATTATAAATTTTGGGACGCTGTGACTGAATAAATTTAACTGGCAGATTTAATGCCACTTATGAGCTCAAATTGTGCTATTAATTTATCAGAAATTTCTAAATAATAACCGAAAGAATGTCGATAAAGGTTCCCAACTAGTTATGTACCAGCATGTATGATCGAAAATTTCAATGTTTAGAATACTTCAGATAATGTAGCGGTAATGTTAAAAGACCTACTCATCTGTAAATTAATGTACAAGAGTTTGTGACTAATATTTTGTGTTCGGTTCTAGGCAGCATCATTTAGTGAAATATTTACTAAAGGTATATGTAGACTAATATTTATCGTAGTGCAATTCATAAAATTTAGGAAGGTAGATAAATAGATGAAAATTGAAATAGCGAAGCGGAAGTTAGGGAACAACAACATATGAATTCCATTAGCTAATTACTGTAACAATTAACACATTGATATTCATGTCTAAAAGGGAAAGCTACACGATGTATAATAAGGCATTTAGCTAGCTAATATTTTGCAGTTGTATGATTTGAGGGTGGTGAATAAACTAAATATAGGGCTCCAGCGAAGTGAGCATTATGTGAAAACACTTAAAAATCTTCAGGTAGGCAACATTGTAAGAGTAACACAAATGTCTAGTAACTTGAAGAAATCACTAAGCGATATAAGGCTCTACTATTCCTTACTGATTGACTAGAAATCTTGGTAATCGTAATGGAAACTAAGGCGATTGTCAAGTTTATTGCTAATGCAATCGAATTCTAGGTGTTCTGTAATGTAACTACATTTAAAAGAAATATACCGCTATGTAATGAAAAAGAAATAGACTTTCTCATCTAATTTTCAAGATCACACTAGTTGATTAAATATTTGCTTATAAACAAACGTTTTTCACAATGTCGTCCATAATATCCTCTTTCATGCTGGCAACTGCACTTATAATGATTTCCAGAAGTGTGCTGACATTTTCCGCTATTCTTGCAGGGATTTGAATCACAAACGCCTTCATTTGACGTAAGTAGATGAAAAAAATATTCTGGTTAGTGAAATGGAACCTAGGGAATAATACTATCTTAAACTTGATACAGTTATTAGTAGTAAACAAATCGGCAGTGAGTATTAACTACTTAATAAAGTATTGGTAGTCCTTAATGATCACTAGAATTTGAGAAGACAATCAGCTTACAAAGTATAAACATACGACAGTATAGTACTTATAAATCATGTAAGCCTTCCTTAAGCTCTTACGACTATTTTTTAATTTTCGGCATATTTGAGTGCACGGCACTATTCAAATGAATCATATAGCGATAGTGCTACGGGTATTATCCATATAGACATAAAAATTCTTCAAAAGCTATCTATAAATTATTAGAACTCTATAACCAGAAACAGAATGCTTCAGAGATTTAATACTTTCATATCTCACTATTGATTTATAAACATTTCTCGACAGTGATCGAAATGAACAACAGTGCCACCAGTAATTTACTTAGATTAGTTACATGTATACGTGAAACTGAAGCCTTTGGAAAGGTAGATATGGTACTACGAGATGTATCTTATTTAAAACCATTATGAAAACAGGTATCATTATGGAACTCTTCAGAAATACGTCTTCTGATAGGAAATTTTATGTGTAAGCTAACCGCGTTCACAATATTGTCCCAGGAATCCAGGCTTGCAACGACATCTGTAATTATGTCCATACGTAGGTTCGCATACCCCGTCATTTTTACAAGAATTGCTCCGGCAAACTCCTACATTTTAAGAAGCATAATTGAATATTCAGCAATATACAACACAAAATAGAGCCAACAGTAGCGTAATGAATTTATTAATGCTCAAATTTAAGACTATTTTTCATAATTTTAAAACATTCGATATCTACTTAGAAGAACTGACGCTTGCAGCTGATAAGGTATAAATTAGAGTATCTAGAATCAGCTTCTAATTTACGTCTTTATTAAAATTGGTATCTTTGATGGGGTAGTGAAAGTTGAGAAAATTAAAGAATAATATTGATGTGAATATCAATTTTTCAAGAACTGAAACCTAGTGATTATTAAGATTCTACGAAGTAAATTAAACCGTATGAATTGGGAAATTGCCAGATATTTCATGCTTTTCATCACTGATATATTAGAAATCTCATGATAGTGATCAAAGAAGAAACTGCCTGTATGGTATTCTCCTGTAACTGGTTACGCTATATCTCTATATCATAAAGCATTGAGAGCTACGTATTATGAAATTCTTCAAGATTACTTCTACTTGTAAATAAACTAACTATTTTCACAATGGGTTCCGTAGAATCCTCGCCTACAACTGCATCTATAGTTGCTTCCATATGTAGGTTCGCAGTTTCCTCCATTCTTGCAACTAGTTGTCTGGCAAACTTCTGCATTATAGATACCAAATAAAATTTTATATTCAATAATAAACAAAATTAAAAATTTTATGATAGCGATCGAAATAAAAACTGCCAGTATGGTATTCTTCGGTAACTGCTTAGGCTATGCCTCTGTATCATAATGCATTAAAGCTTCAGCATCATACGATTTTGCAATATTATATCTAATAGAATTTGTATATAAACTAACTATTTTCACAATGAGTTCCGTAGAATCCTCGGCTGCAAATGCATCTATAGTTCTTTCCATATGTAGGCTGGCAATTTCCTCCATTCTTGCAAGTATTCATCTGGCAGACTTCTACATTACCGACATCAAATAAAGTGTTACATCATAACAAAAACTAGGAAGCAATATCGGTATGAGCATCACTAATTTATTAGGGACGCAAATTGATGTTGAATGTTTAATCGTTCCGAAATATTTGATAGCTACTTAAAACTACTGCGCTTTGTTAGTTCTATTACCGAATAAAGACATGCCAAAATAGTGCAATGCCTTGTCCTATAATTTATAATTTTAATTTTATTATCAATATTTGCTAAATTTGAGTGACTAGAGATAGTCAATTATACAATAATAATTCAGGCATCCTTTCAGCAAACTCTAAAATCAGCCTTTAGCCGAGATTGTAAAACTATAAGAAGTGCTAATAAATATAACACTATTTGTTGCATATTTTTGCTGATACATTATTTGAAATCTCCAGAAAGTGGCCAAAGTGAAAACTAACAATGTTCTTTTTAGGTTGATTAATGTAAATCAAAGCCATTATATTATGTAATTAGCGCAATCACGGAACTTTAGTAATATATCTGCATTCATACAGAGATAAATCATTTTTCTAAATGCCCTACAACTACATCATCGATGACATCCTCCACCAACTAACCATTTTCACAAAATTTTCCATAATATCCAAACCGGCAGCTACATCTATATTGAGCTCCTTGTAGGGGTTCACATTTTCCGTTGTTCCTGCATGAATTGGCTTTACAAGTCTCTTCATTAAGAATAATACAGATGATGTATTATAATCGGTAAAATTTGGATACAGTACCGGTAAAACGCCAAATGTTATAGTCATAGCAAGCAAAAATTGGTAATGGAATTATAATCTTTCTAAAAATTTTAATGTTTATAATCAATGGCTATTTTTAGGTAGTTGTTGACATAAGCGAGAGAACAGCTCTTGTTATAACTGTTACTCTTCAATGCTGGATCTATTTAACTGATAGGATTGAATAAAATCATCTCTATAAAGGAAAATAATAGTATAGAATATTATCTAATAAACCTACGATTCTGGCAGTTTTCACCATAGTATCCGCTTCTACAATTGCATTGATAGCCAGATCCCGAAAACTGACATTGACCACCATTTTGACAAGGGTTGGATTGGCAACCTCGGTCTATAAAAGTGGCAATGAAGTTTGACTATATAATAAAAAGAATTTATACAAGAAAATAAAGCTTTAAGAGAATTCTTAAATTTTGCTATCTGGTCTAACAAGATTGGCAATATTTTCCATGAAACCCTTCTTTACAGTGGCAGTGGTATCCTTCAGCTCGAAGTTGGCATTGGCCATTTGCACATGGATTTGGATTGCAATATTCTTGTACGCATAAAGAGAAAGGAAGTGTTAACATGTGATATATATGTAGCTTAGCAGTGGACATCTAAATTTTAATTCGAATGCTACTACTTTACGCTAAATTGTAATAAAATAATCTGTGTAGTAGCTTTCCGATAATCCAACTTGATCTTGTCGTAAAAAAGTCGGTTATAACAAAATTGCTACCCTTATCTATTATCCATATAACTTTTCATCTATAACTTTGGAATAACTTAATAGAATTTATCCTAAACAAAATGCTATCGTATCCTATTGAAGTCTTATCCGTTTATGATATATGCAACTCGGATGCTGAATATCCATGGATAGTAGTTGTTATAACTTGCCCAGGTTGATTAAGTAAATCCCACATAGTAAGTAATTAACATTCAAGTGGAAAAGTTATAAACGGCTATAGCAAAAGTCTCTAATTCTTCAAAGGGAGGCGTGATTGAAGAATTAAGAGTAGCTATAGTACTATAAGATACTACTTTAACTTTAAATTGCATTATAAGATTACCACCACTATAATTTGGCATGAATTATATTCATAACTGTTCTTAAAAGTTTTATGCTTAGAATCGAATCATGATCTGAAAGTACAATATAAAAAATAGCCAAGCAGAATCCAATGAACCAGAACAGTACTCGAGATCTATATTAACAAATAAATATGATCTTAAAATACCTTGACTACAATTTCTGCCATAGTATCCAGACTTGCAATCGCAGCGATAATCTGTTCCTTGTTCGATACATTTGCCATTTAGGCAAGGATTCCATTTACAATGATACTCTATAAGAATATAGAGAAAACCAATTTATCAATAGCATTGAATATATAGTTCAAGTAACTTTCGCACAGCATCATTAATGACTTCTAATATCAACTACATGAGCTTCAGCTGCTGATAGTGTTTAGTAAGGTCGCTATGGTATTTCTTAGAAGTCAAATTAACGCTTAAGTTTAACCTTTTACGAGCGATAAAATCGACGATGATATTACTTAAAGTATAGATTATCTCACCACTCTAAATGTAGTCCAAAGGTTCATTAGGTATGTAAAAGTGTTATAATAGCTAACTCACATACCGTATTGACAGTATTCGCCATAATATCCTTCTGTACAATTGCACATATAACTGTTTTTATTAGCAACACAAACTCCATTCTTGCATTTATTGTTGTTGCAGTGATCTAAAATGATAAAGAAGAAGATTTCAGATATCTAAAAAGATAATTCTAATTTAAGTAATGGAAATCGCTTTAAGTTTCTAAACCCTTTAAAAGATCGTAAACTTACTTAATTGACAGTATTTGCCGTAATATTCTTTATTTTAAGTGTATGTTTAGCTATCTTTATTTACTATACCAATTTTATTCAAGCACGTATTACTTAAGTAAGGATTTAAAAGTACAATAATAGGGATATCGTAATGTTTATATAACTATTTTGATTCTAATACTACAAATTTTTTTGTGTTTATAATCATGTAAGAGATATTCAACATACCGATATCAAATTGACAAAATTCACCACTATATCCTTTATTGCAATCACATATGTAACCATTTTGATTTGCAATGCAGCGCCCATGCATACACTTGTGCCCAAAACAATGATCTAAATATAAATGAAGCATTTAGTATATCATCAAAAATCCTGCGGTAAATTGCATCAATGAAGCTTTTTTAAGGCAGCTGACATTTATTAAAGTTGAATTTGCAATTAGCCAATATTAGATTTAAGCAAACACTCATATATTTATTAGCTCTCTTAAGACCATATTAAAGGATTCACTTAATTAGAACGGTACTACCATAAGCCATTAACGGTTTTACAGAAAGACTAAAGATGGAATTTACTACTACTATAAAATGAATTACTAATTATATTTATTCATGTACAAGATAACACCAGTTATTATGTCATACTCGCGGTGTAAATGTTGGTTTACTGATGTAGTTTGCTCATTTCTATACAAATTATTATTATATTTCAATATAAATATCATCTCCGATTACGGACAATCCAAACAATAGTATGATCATTTACTAAAATCTTTCTTGATTTATATGAAGATTACCGTCCACAAATTGTACTTATCGGCCGCCAATTATTCTTACCTGTTTCTATTTTACTGCAATAATCCAAGAAGCAAGCTGATAATGGATCAAGTTTATATGAAATAGTGTTGGAACAGCCTCTAATTTTTGTGACCACTTCGAATGAACAGTGGGAGAGCCCGAAATGGAAGCAAAGTCTTCCTATCTTAAAACTACTCTTGGCTGTCCATTAAAAATTGAGTGCAATTGCAATGAAATTAAATAATATACAGTTAGGATAGATATTATTTAAATTTATCAAGAATTTTTCCAGCATTCTTTAAATCAATTTAGTGCATAAAGTTTCGTATAAACTGACTAATATTCATAATTTTAGATGCAACAACACCTTAAAAGGCTACACGGACTGATAGTTATAGATTTTAGTAAAATATGACAATGGCTTGTAAATTAAAAATAATTGTTCTCTTCAATTTGGATGTACCGCGGTTGATAATTTTAAGTGGTGACAAATCTCTATCGACAGTTACTTACTATATTGAGTAACGTTAATCCATCTAGCAATGGTTGTACATCTAGGGTGTTGGCTACTTTGATACCACTTGATTAAATTTTGACTCGACTGAGCGGTATATCGGCAAAGCTTTTTCATTTTGCTTAGTCTATAAGCATCAACTTCTGTTGTTAAAGAATCCTTAAATCTAGTTCCGCTAGCAGCACATGGATCTATCAATCATGATTGCAAGAAAGGTATTTAAATGCCAATTATAGGAATCCACTGCCAGGGTATGTTACGAATCAAGTGTAATTTTAATAACAAAATAAGCTAAAATCGAAATAAATCTGGGCTTTTCAAGTCAAATAAAAATTAATGATATTATTAACATACCGTTGCATGTATGATTATCGCTATCAAGTTCCTGGCCAGATGGACAACTACAGTGATAGCCATGAGCGATACTATGGCAGGTACCCTGACATCCACCTTTATTATGCCCACAACCATTGGTATCTTATTTAAAATTAGAAAGTGGTGGCAATATGAAAAGTAAATCGAAAATGAACCTAAAATACAATAGTTAACAGCCCATTTGATAAAGATAAAAAAATATATATATATAAAATCGATATAAAAATAATTAATTCATAAGCTAATTTAGGTAGTGTATGATGACGTGATGATCAGAATGCGCTGCTTTTGATACTTCTTTATATAGTTCAGCAAGGGTGAGCAGAAATATACCTTGTTGACACAATTTTCCTTCAAATCCTGGGCGGCAATCACAGCTAAATCCATTGGAAGTTCGTCGACATGTCCCATGTAAGCAGGGATTAGGTTTACAGTAGTCTAGATGACAGAGATTATTCCTTAATAGCGCTGTCAAATATTGGGTGTTTAACAGTAGTCTTGCATATGCATGCAATGTAGACAGCAGTTGGAGAGATACTGAATTTTATCAGAATTTTAGATATTCAAACGTGTCAATAGCAAATAATTTTAGTTGGTATCTGGTTAAAATATCATAATAGACTGAATTAATCGCTATTCAATATGTAAAAAATTACAGTACTTTAGTCAGTCAAATCTATTCTATTTCTAATAATTAGTTACAGTCGGCAATAAACTTCAATACATTAAAAACAAGCATTAGACTTAAAGCTAAATTTGTGAAGTATCCAAAGATCAGTCAGAAATTGATATGTTGTCTTTAATAGGAATAGATGAGAGGTAAAGATAAATTCCGCGTACTAACCATATTGATCTGAACAGTAGCGAAGAGAGCAAGTCGGTGGTGGAGGCAACTGATATATATAATGACCGCCACAATTCTTGATGTGAATAGTCTTTCTCCAGCGACAAGAATTTGAGTGCGATGAAAAGCAAACAGTACCATTGATGATGCCTTGACGAACTGAAAGAAGTATCGAAATGAGTCGACTAAATTTTATAGAATCAGACTGATGCAGTAGCTCCTTGCAACAATTAGAAATTCAATACTGCGAAAATAAAAAAAATTGTTTTAAAGAGAATGATTAATTAATGTACATTATAAGAACATAGAGAGCTGAAAGTTTCATAGCAAAATACGCTATGGTACGGTACATAGCAAAGGAAATAGCCTTCAATACGACGCATTATAATCTAGCTTAAAGAGCATTTTATCGATGATCATGTACCGAGAAGGATGTATTTCTTACAGCTATATTCAATGTGTGCCATTTTTCAGAAAAGAGTTTTACTACCTGTAGGATGAGCTGTTGCAAGCCACCCAGGTGAGCTTGCTCCACAATGAAACATACCGACTGGAGTAGTGGGCATCATTTGACTAAATTTGCCTCCATTAAATCGATACCACTTAGAAGAATTCTGCTCTAGTAATTCTCGGTCACAATACGAAGTCCTAACTAAATTTTGAACTCTTCTAGACTCATCCTTAACGTTTATGTAAGATATACACGGATCTAAGACGTAACAGCTGAGATGTTAATTAAAATACGCAATTGAGAATCAATCATTTTAGTAATAAAATCATACAGATTATTTGAAATGAGAGACAGTTACAACCTATACATGTTTGACCATCTGGTAATAATACGTAATCCTTATGACACGAGCAACGGTAGCTGCCAAAGGTATTCGTGCATTTAGACGCGCAGTTTGATATTTTTAGATCGCATTCATCAATGTCTACGGACAAATTATATAATTTTTCAATTTAAAAACTATGAATTTGGGTCTCGATATAATGTACCATATTACAGTATTATTTATGGTCAAATAGAACGAAAAAATTGATCTATTGCATACATTATTTTTTGTTTTACCTTGATCACAATTAACTCCAGTATAGCCTTTCTTACATAAACATTGATAGTTGAAGCCATTGGCTCGGCAAACTCCATGACCACATGGAGTACTTCGGCATGGATTAATTGCTGTAATCAATTAGCGTTTACGTCATATTTTAGTTTTTATGCCACCATGTATTTTCATATAGTCTAATGTATTGAACTATAAGGTCACGATTGATCTTTAATTGCTTGCTTTGTATTGCTATGAGTTGACTTAATAGTAATAACATCAGTGACTGATCGGCGCTACGAAACTCGAATCGGCAACCGACTTTGCGTGTAATAAATTATTGATTAAAAAAGTAGATTTTTACCGTTTTCACAATTTCGACCAGTATATCCAGCTGTACAGGTACAACTATATCCTTGACTAGTATGAGTACAGACACCACCATTAGCACAAGGATTTTTTGAAACGCAAATGGCTAGAAATGAATGCAAGAGGTGTTTAGATTTATAGTACATTATAATATGCAAGACTTGGATAATATCCAATCATTTTAATATTATCGATCTTAGTTCTTATTCAATATCCACTAATTCTGATATATGCTTAATAGATTGCACTTTGCCAGTCTTGATTGAACTGTAGAATACAAATTGTTAGATATAAAATATATACTACGACATCATACCTGAAGCTTTCGATAAAATTACCAGCAATGCCATTATCTAACAGAAAGAGATATTAGGGCTAAGATATTTAGAACACTACTAATATGCTTAATAGTAGTTACTATCTTCTCAAGCCTTTTATCTGCAATTGAGTTCTTGCAGTTATACCGATTATCAGAATATTACCAATATTTAAACGAGTAGGTATTAATGTAATTATCCCAAATCTTATCTCTTAGCTCACCCAGAAATGAAAAAGAATGCCATGAAACATCCTTGTTCGCATTGCCATATTTTTCAGTGGAGCAGTTGACTAGCTAAATTACTATTAGCCTTGTAATAGCACGAGTCGATTCCAAAAAATCATCTATGCAGTAAAGTTTTCAAAGCAAATGCTGTACTTTTGCAGTGTATTATAAAATTTATGTATTCTGATCATTATTAAAAAATGTATAATCTAAACATTTGCTCATTTTTTCCATGCCTAAGAGTAAACAATAAACTCCTTGCATCACGAGGATTAAATATGTTCATATTTATTAATTAATTATTGCAGCGATTGGAAAACAACTCATAGACATTTTAAATCCGAAATTAGTGACTTTGAATGTATATTACCTAGAAGTTAATTATTTAGTACTATAATTTATCACCACAGTTCTGTAGTATTATAGTATCTGGTGTTTGTATATTTTGGTACGATTCGATATTAATTACCCATACTGTGATATAATGAAATTGGCTAGATTACAGATGTACAAGTAAAGTGTTTTCAAAAAGGGCTACCGTTGGATTACGTATGATTGAATTATTGTGATGACTAATACTGACTCAAAAAATGTTTTTTCCATCGATCAATCATACTCACACATTAGATACAGTATGTTCGATATAATTAATTTCCGAGAAATGAACTGAAAGTATCTTATCGATATTGTATTGTTGGACCCAACTGTAAATAAACATTTGCTATAATTCCTTAGATAATTTTCTCTTTAGGGAGGCCAATACAATTGAGAAGATACATGTTAGAGTACACATTTTTAGATATTGCTGGAGGTATTTGTTTGTGAAATCAATAGCCGGAAGTATTATAATTCTGGAATGGCATTTCCCTTGCATATCTATTTACAGTTACGCATCATTGTACATTGCATTTTTGTAAACTAAGGGCGGTCTAAGGTCCATATTTTCAGGAGCCCAGGAAAATAAAAGTAATTACAATTACCCTCATTAAAAAAAATACCGATATCGGATAAATAGGGAAAACAATTACTCATTACATCATCCTACCATTTAGTTCTCTCAGTAAACAAGTATTAGTACGAAAGCTATTTTACCATTAAAGTGTTAAAATTGAGTATATCATTTGAAAATGCAATCTGTCGTCAATAATAACGAAGACAATGTTTAAGATGTTGATTATACCAATATTTTTCTCAATGCTTAAGTTTTCATATCTCTACAGTAAATACGCTTATAATAATGAAAACTGTTTTGCCTTCAAGTTTCTCCCTTCTCAATAAGAACGTCAATTTATCAACAATACACTGATTTGGTTAATATTAGCATTAATTAACTCCAATTTTCGCATCAGATTTATTTCAAAGTATTTTTAACATAAGTTCACAATGACAAGGCGTTAATTGATCTACACAAGTAATATCGATTCTGTCATGCCTAGAATTAATAAAATCCAGTAATTAATTACAATTATCAAAAAAATCGTTACGCTGCTTATACTCATGCATATAGTAGTTTATTATCGAATTAATACGCTTATTGTATAAAAAATGGATCATTACTTTCTGCTTCATGTAGTATTGCTTTACTTAAGCAAAATATATTTGAGAAGGTTTTTTAGCTTGCTACAATTCTCTATTAAAATTAAATCTAAGATTTTAAAATTCTAATATGATCTAATCATAGCATTTATAAATATATTTGATCTTGTGTAAGAAGCATATTTTAAAATTTTTACTATCAACTTACTAATCATAATTCCAATATATGTTAATATAGTCCTCATAAATTCACTGAAAAATCGTTTTATACCACTAGAGTTTTACCTTATATACCTCCTTCAACATCTACTTCGTAAATCGTAATCAGTATCAGTGTTCATTTACTAATTGGTATAGAGTAGAGTTATATTTCGATAAACGTAAAAAGCATAGGCTATAAAAAAGGAAGGTGGATCATCTAAAACACTATCATTTATTCCATAGATAACATCGTCCATATTAATTTGTCTTCATGATTCTTTATGCTGTACATCACGAATATCGCGTCTAGTCGTTGTTTAATTTCCATGTGTTATATGTCAAAGTAATGATTTCATTGATGTTAATCTATGCTATTTTGATGATAGTTATATATAATATGTGTGTAATGCATCGTCCTAATATAGATATTGATAAACTATTAGTCACGTGTTAAAAGTTATCCAGTTCATCTTAACCAGGGTCGATTTCTGTTTTTTAACAGTATTAGATTAATACGTTTACTATAGGATGTAAGCTTATGCTATATGATTTTGTATGGAAATGATTGCTTGTAAAAGTAATCGAAGTCTGTTTATCCCGTTTATCTTAACCGTTTTCGACTGATTATATGAGAGATGAAAATTGAATGCACTCTCACGGACAGACGGAACAATAAACGTAGTTTTAAAACTACTCTCTCGGTTGTGAGGGTTTATTGCATATCATAAGGATTTACTTAACTAACTCAGATTAAGAGTTAGAGGTCGCGAACCTATAGCAATAGTAAAAGACTATTACTCGGTCATTACAGTCAATAAGGCTTTAAAAGTATATGCCGTAGTACTGCATACTTATGCAATTGTCAATGAAAGAGAAAGAAAACAAAGTTTTATTATTACTAACTTAACAGATCAGATAACAGTGCATTGCATTGCAGTCAAGTGTTACTCCAAACTCAGATTGATTCTGCTCATTAATTCATTACTTAATAATTATAGATATAGTTTTAAAGTTTACCAAAGTTGCCGTCCGAGACAAATTCAATTTGCATGTCTAAATAGAATTAATCATAGATAAATTATATTCGCACACAAGATCACAGGAATTGTTAAAAATATCGTTTTTGCGCCACATCTTCGCAAAAATGGATATTTCATGTTATTCCGTGAGCTTGTACTGCTGTAATTATGGCTAAGTTCCCCTATTTCCTTAATTGATTCCAACGTTAATTTACTTTGGCTATAGTAGGATAAATACTTATTTTCAGAAACTAGTAGATTTGTATTTTTAGTTGAAGTTACGGCAATTTTTAGTGATTTAACTCATGCAGAAGCGTGCTGTAGAATAGACATAAAAAGTATCTAGTGCTAATATAATTAACTTTCAATTACGATAAGATATTGAAAAGAATTCGTACGGTTACTGTAGAGGATAAAAATTCAAATGACGCAAATATTTTCTCTATTTTTTCTACCTCAGTATCTACATAGAAATTTTATTCACATTTTATCTTGACTAGCTCTAATGCAATAATCAATCGTCGGATTACTTAGCTACAGTAATATCGAATGAATGAATAGAAGCTATTACTACAATTCAGATAGATATTTGCATGCAGTGCTGTTCAAAGTTGGTTACAAGATTTAGATTGCAAGCTTTTGTAAGACTGCAGATACCTGTTCAATAATAGCCTTTTGCACTTCGGTAAAGCGATTCGCGTAACAAAGTGAAGTTTGAAAGGAAACTGGAGCTCTTGTCATATCATTTGAGATATTTTATTGCTTCGAATGAGCATTCTTTTATTCCATTACTTTTACTTTCTTTAATATTTTATTTCGTAACTACCTCGCAATAATCGCTACGGTAATGGATTGAATTTCATGAGGAAGACAATGATAAGCTAACGCATTATTTTAGATATTTTCTATATGAGTAAGCAGCAATTACAGCTGTGATCAAGATTTAAATAAAAATAATATCGATATATCCTATTGTTGCTCCAATATTTTGTTTTGAATCATGAAAATGTGAGCGTTAATATGTACTACCGCACTTTCCGCAAAGCTATCGCTAACAGATCTTTTTGTAACAGTAACTAAGGTTTTAGTTGAATTATGAAAATGAGACTACATTCTTTCTTTAAAGCTATCGCTAATAAATCTTTTTAAATTAATTATACCTTACTCATCTGACTGCGGTAAAGAATATTTTCCTTTAGATTTGAATACAATTACAGCTCATAATCGCTAAGAAAAGTGCAAGTACGAAAATGAAATGAAAAGATCATTGGTATACAGCTATTAGTATACAGCCTTAGCACAGTCAGGCCATCGCATGTATCATTAGCTTGAATGTGAAACGGAATCACTCGTTGTTATCAAGCAAATTACTTTTACAACTAATGCAGGAGTACTACTACACACTACCATCTTATCTACTTGAAACAGTAGAATTTTAATCGATAACTATATCGGTAATAAAGTTACTCATGCAAATTTTAAGTACAGAAATTGATTTGAAATCAATTAAAATAGTAACATTCAAATGATTAAAAGTTTCAACATTAATCTTAGTATTGACCAATGTTACATTTACCAGTCCGCATTTTCCTTATTATGCATTTTACATTCCAACAACCACAGACCGGCCATGCTAAAAATGAAACACAGTACATGTTAACATTATACTTAGAGTTGATGATGCTATGAGAAATTCTTTTATGATATCTGAGTATGTACGAGAACTTTAATTCAACAAAATGGAGTGTTACAAGCCAATAAAATTGGTAAGGTATACTTTGCGTGAATTAATTTATTTATTAACTATCATGAGTGCTATTTCACTGCTAATTACCGATACTACTCAGTAATCGATGGTTTAAGAATCGTATAACATTGAATTATAATTGTCTCAACAAAGCCTATAGAGCGTTCTATGCTTACCACGTTCACATCTTAAGCCAAAGTAGCTGGACTTACACTGGCATTCTTCCCCTCGCCTATCAGCAATACATGTGCCTCCATTTTGGCAGGGATTAGGATTACACGCGCCTTAAAATTGGAAAAAATCTAAGTATTTATAGCTCGTCAACATCAAACTAAACGGAATATCGGAATAATAAGCATTAGTAGTAACAGCAATAATGCTGTCGCGTGTATAATATTATATAGTTACAGCTTGCTAAAAATGGGTTAAGTTCAAGTATTTATGGTTCGCTAAAGTAAAAGTAAACGGATTATCTCCAATAATACCTATAGCAATAACAGCAATAATACAATAACACGTATAATATTATATACGAATAGTTACAACTTGTTAAAAAAGATTAAAGACTCGGTGTCAATGCTTAGCAAGATCACCATCTAGTTTTCGCTATAATGTATTTACAATGACTCAAATTAACTGACTATTTTTATAAATGATCCAAATTTCGTTACACATCAAGGTATTTTATTATTTATTCCAGAATATCTTCAAGATACTGGGGTATATCATATACTGTAGCGTAAGAGTATTAGATACGCCAGTAGAATGGGTACGGTATGCTTTGAGTTGCTGAATTAAGCTTTCAGATACTTAATTATTATAATAATAATAAATCATTTAACCTTTACAATATGTTAATAATTCTTAAGAACTTTCAATTGTGAGGCAATTTTTCTATGATCTCCTTTTTTTTAATATACTCTTACGTTTTTGGCAATTTTGTCCAAAATAACCAGGATTACATCTGCAACGATAACCACGTCTATGGGCTACACATAAACCATATCCACAGGGATTAGGCTTACAAATTTCTAGTTAAAATAGTAAAAAATAAAGAATAAGATTGAAATTGCTGCAGCGGAAACTTACCCTATTTCGACTATTTTATCACAATTCAAAAACGCGGATCAACATTCGATATCACCTTAATTGGTGCTAGCAATAGCTTAAAATACACAATTTATTATAATATCATGAATTCCTGTAAAATGAGGCTATTTATACAAAATGTACTGGTGTAATGAACAATAATAATAACATCCGTTTGCTTATTAAGTAGCTTCATCGATTTGAACCTACAACATAATTCTCAGCTAGATTCCATGTAACTTATTTAGTACAGTATTCAAGCGAATCTAATTGCAAGATTTAGATATAACCTAACCAATTTCGCAGTAAACTCCTTTGAATCCAGGTTGGCAAAGGCATTGATAACCATCACGCGAAGGTAAGCATTTTCCGTTATTCCGGCAAAGCTTAGCTTTACAAGTTAATTTTTCTGATATAACGACGAAACATGTATCAAATCAAATTTTAGAAAATCGTAACACTTGCAAATACGTATGCTCTATAAAATTTAGGACAGTAAGTAAATGCAAAGTAGAATGACTACTCCTAAGCTTCTTTTAGTTTTATTAATATTTGTGATGGTTAAGATGGCATAAATTATCAAATAGATCATAGAACGATCATGATAGAAGTATAATCTGTCTGAATCAAAAATTGTCTCCATGGCAAAAATTTTAAATCGGACTGTAATACTAAGCTTTAAAATGAATAAGGCCACCGTAAACATTCAGTATTCTATAATCTCATCGTAGGTAATTATAGCTGTTATACAATCTCTTAAGATATATCTAATTTAACTTTAAAACTGATTTGTTAAATAAATTCTTCAGGAAATGATCACTTTATTCAATGTTAATATACAAATATTCAGAGACCAACTTTTTTCGCAATATAATCCCTGGAAACCACTTGGACATCGACATTTATAAAACCTTCCATAGATAGGTTCACATTTTCCGTTATTTTGGCAAGGATTTGCTTGGCAAACTCCTTTATTCAAGATATGTACAGTAGATTGAAATATGATGGTCAGCAAAAGGGCAGTTAATCAAGGAGCAATAATAACATGAATATGATTGATCTATTAATAGTAGAAACGATGAAAGCTAAAATCTATTGCTTGTTAAACTTCGATAGCCGTTTATGACTATATAGATGAGCCTGTCAAGGAAAAAAGCCTAGCAAAAGTCATACTATACTATATCTCATGGCTTATGGCATTTCTATAATTTTCATTTTCTGTGAACTTCCTGACTAGATATCAGCGGCTAAAAAGTATCCGCAGAGCAATATGAAAATTATCAGAATTGCCATTCAAATCTCATCATAGGTAAGATTCTGCTCTAAATACGCTAGCCATTAAAGCAGGTTCACGCCAGAAAAAATTTAATGAGATATAGCTACAGCGAATACTAATCGTAATGAATACTATATGATAGCACATTTTACAGTATTCCCTCAGATTAGCGATTCAAATTTGTAAAATTAAAGCCTTAGCCTTATATTCTGTAATGATGGAATTTAGCAGCATATCTGGATTAGTTCAGCAATAAATTTCTCGGCTAACATCTGGGAAATCATATCATCCAATGTGGCATTACATACATATATTTTATACTGTACATAGACTAACTGTCTTCGCAAAATTCGCCATAGAATCCAGTCTTACAACGACATTTATAGTAAGGTCCATGAATAGGGTCACAGGTTCCGCCATTCTTGCAAGGATTTATCTGGCAAACCTCTTCATTAATAAAGACGTGGAAATGAGGTTTCAAAGTCAGAAATTAAATGAGTAATATCAGTAATAGTTTAAGACTTTCATTAGCATTCGCCGTATTTCAGCGGCCACCATAGCCTAAACCTGAGAATGATACTGCTGTAGAGTCGTGAGCTTTATCCGTAAGAATACTATTCTGCTAGTTACTTTAGCTCTAAATAATGGAATTAAACTGTAAAACTGGATAAAAACTATCAGAAATTCAATACTTTACGAAGACTTCATAGGAAATCTCAGCTCTCAAGTCCACGATCGAAATATGGACTGATCACTGCCCAATGATCATTGTAAGTAGTTAAATCTTAGTTTCGCGTTCAATAACGTAGTGGCAGTATTTACGGAATGTGATCAAATTAACGGAATCAAATTCACTTGATTCTTCCCAATTATTATACTTAATAAGATGTTTTACATATTTGTGTAAACGTACTTTGCTGACAATGTGTGCCCATAAATCCAGAAGGACATTCACATCTATAATAAGGTCCATATGTGGGTTCGCAAATTCCGCTGTTTTTGCAAGGATTTATCTGGCAAACTCCTGTAATAATATTATCCAAATGAAATATTATTATAATTTATCAAGCTAACAAGTAATATTAGTAAGAGCTGGGTTAGTTTATTAGTAAATAAGTTACTGATTTCTACATTCTACACTTTTTATAAAGCATTAGATAGAAGTTCATGACAGTAATTGTTGGGAAAGATCGTCATCGCAAAGAAAAGTCTGCCATGGTACGCTATGCTTAGCCTTATAGTTGACGACTCTTAATAAGTTTACCCCTACTTGAATGAACAGCTATTGTTAGGAGGATGATGGAGCAATAAGTATATAAGGATAATCTTTTAACCCTAAAAATTTCTTAGGACTCAGGTGTTAACAAGTAAATTATTGTAAGTCGAGACGGTAGGTTAAAAACGACTGCTGAAGAATAAATACTTTTTGCTTCACTTCTGATATAACAAAATTTCATAATAGAAATTGACATAAAATTAAAAATATCCTCTTTTCATTAGTTATATGCCGCATTAAATTATAACTGTTGACTGTGTTACTGATAGGAATGTAGTATTAGCCTTTAAAGATGCATTTAAATTATCAATAGAACGAGTTCAGTCAGGGTACAGTATGCTTAGTCTTATAGCTGATGACGATTAATAAGTTTAACTCTATTTGAGTGGACAGCTATCGTTTTGTAAATGATGAAACAATAATGATCATGTAAGGATAAGCTTAAAACTCTCTAAAATACCTCATGGCTTAGGAGCGTATAAGTGAATTGAATTGAGACTTTAGAATCGGACACATGTGCTAGACAATTAAAGTTATTTCACATCTAATATAATAGAATCTCGTATTAGAAATTGACTCAAAATTGAAAATATGCTCCTTCTCTTGGCTATATCCGGTGTGAAATATAAGTTTGTATCCGTCGACTTAATTAAACACGGTAATGTACAGGTAGTCTTTAGCTATGGAACTATATTTATTAAAGTTTTGGTTTGATTCTCTCAATTAGCGATAAATTTGCTACCGCTGACTCATCGAACCCCTCTTTTAAAATTGGTTACATTCTTTGGTCCAAGACTATTAAATATTAATAATCTAAATTAAATTCTTTTACTGACTATAATCTTAAAAGGCAAAAGAAGACGCTAACTCATCCAACCGTTTTACAGTTGGTTAAATTTGTTGACCCAAGACTACTAAAGTATTAATAATGCAAAACAAAATTCCGTCATTGACTGTGATCTTAATAGGTAGAAGGAGAAACTGAGGTAAATATTACTATCAAACGATTTGAAACTTTGAGATATCGTAGCGGATCGACTAAAAAATGTCATAGTAATGATTAAAGTGAAACCGACAATATTTTGTATAGATTACGGTCATAATATGAAAATGGAATCTCTAATATTTCACTTCACTTCATAGCATAATAGTAATGTTTATATATGTGCTTAAATCATTCTAAAAAGGAATTTTACTTGAAATCGTTCAGAATGAGTTCATCTAACTAGATATGTCCAAATTACTAACGCTTTTCACAATGGGATCCATAGTATCCAGAATGGCAACGGCATTTGTAATAACTTCCGTATGTGGGCTCGCATTCTCCACTATTCTTGCAAGGATTTGTTCGGCAAACATCTACATTAATGAATATTAGTTCAAAATTTTACCGGTAGTAAAATTAAAAACACCTAAAAGATTTTGATTGCTTTGTTATAGAAAACAAATTGCCAGTTAATACTTAGGGTTTCTAGAATATTAGATACCGTAGTTATTGTAAGACCTACGGCTTAATAAAATAACATTTTAATGAGCAAGCCAATAGCAAGCTAATATTGTGCAATAGCTTGCTTTTGAATGTTCAATCTTTCAATATTTGATTTGTATATTAAACAGTGACGGATTAATTATGAGAGAGTGATGAAAAGATTATTAAATAGCTGCTAATTTACTCACGATTTTGGCAGTTGTTCCCGTAGTATCCGTTCTTACAAAGGCAACGATAACCAGGTTGTAATGACTGACATTGGCCATCATTTTGACAAGGATTGGAGTGGCAACCATAAGCTATCAGAATAGTAATAAATTTAATTTTATGTAAGAGAAAAGAATATGAAAATAAAACATTAGCAAATTATCTTTCAATTATATTGTCTTAGTCTAACAAGATTGACATTCTCTTCCATAAAATCCTGCTGAGCAATTGCAATAATATCCATAGTTACGAAGTTCACATTGGCCATTATTACATGGACTAGGATTACAATAGTCTAGCATTGTGAGAAGAAATTGTTAGACATGTGATATACTCATATACTAGAATTCTAAGAGGTAACATCTAAGATACAGCTAAAGCTCGAAATAAGGTTATATGTATAGCAGCTGGCTAAAATGCATATTATTAAGCTTAGCTCAGGGCCGATAAGCTTTGACTAGGATCGCCTGGTGAAGACAGGGACTACTAAAAGAAGAAAGAAACGGGACTCCCAACGGCTGTTGACTATACTAAAAATTAGCTGCTAGGTTGGTTTTGTGCAGTATGGTATACGTTTTCATTCGTATCGTATAGTAGAATGGCCGGAAAAATGATAAGCCTCATCATTATTTGCACTGACAGCCGCTGACAGTCTCGTTTCTTTCTTATTTTGTAGTCCTTGGTGAAGACTTTCCTTACACGACATGGATATCATTGCTATGATCAAATTTATATACCAGTAATACCTTTGTGTACTTTATAATATAAAAATAAGCTATACAGTAATCTACTAAAATTTGTTCAAGATTTGCTAATGTTGAATCTTGACCATTTAAAGTTGATATTAACGCAATGAAATCCGCCGTAATTAAATCCAAAACTGCTTTTAAATTGCAGTATGGAATTATCACTTCCAAAGTTACTTTTAAATTGTAATATTAAAGTATTACAACTAAAATTACTTTTTACAAGGTTAAATTGCATATTAAAGTATAATATTCAAGACTGCTTTTAAATTATAATATTGAAGTATTACAACCAAAATTAACTTGTATTATATTCGTTATGCGACAAGCTATTTATAAAAGGCCTTCAATCTGTATAATCTGTTACTCTATCAAACACTGCTGTAAAGTCACACAATCCGGCTGACGACTAGAAATATACGCATAAATTTATAATTCAAATTATTGAAGTAAGATCTAACTTACTTTGATTACAAAGTCTGCCATAGTATCCTGGATTGCAAAGGCAGCCATAACCGTTAATATGCTCGATACATTGACCATTTTGACAAGGATTTGGTTTGCAATGATTCACTGATTTTAGTTTCAGGAAGACATTGATATTTAGTTCTATTCGTATTTATACGTTACGAGTAATTAAAGCATTTCTAGTTCAGATTGGAATACGTTAACTCTTAATTTCGGTAGGCATTATATCCTAGTCGCTGCTAATGTTAATGCATTAACCAGGTAAATAGCGATTAAAATGGTGATTAACTGTTAAATTAGATAGAGTGACTGTAAACATGAAATAACGCCATAGTCTACACTGGAAAATGTCCGTGTTAATTTTGTTCGTCGATAAGTAATATCGCAACTGTATTAGTTACATTATGTTCTATCTGCGAGCAGATAGCTACTGTATACTCCAACTATAATCATAGGAGAATCTATCAATTTTAAGAATCTGCCCATATTGCCAATCGAACTGTCTAGTATCTGGATTAGAGTACTAATCTGTTACTGGATAGTCATCGCAGTATAAGTTATTGACTAGATTCGACGTATACTATTTTGATGGTGATACATACTGTTGTTGTGTAGTAGGACTTTTTTGAAAACTTATATATAACATACTATTTATAGATATCATAACGATCCGACTATTAACTTAGAAAGTGCAACTACAAATCTCTAAAACTTCAGTAAATTGACTACTGGTAAATAGAATTTCTTATGATATATTAAAAATATACAAAAGAAGACCAACATACCGTACTGACAGTATCCTCCGTAAAATCCTTCTCTGCATTTGCATTTGTAGGTATTTTTATTGACGACGCAAAGCCCGTTTTTGCACTTATTATTGGAGCAGCGATCTAAGGCACAAATAAGACATTGAAGATGTGGGTCTTTTGTGATTATTTAAATTTTCTAAATTAAATTCGAGAGATATCTTGCTGCTATTAGAAATCTAAAGGAGATAATTAATCTACCTAGTTGACAGTATTTGCCATGATATCCATCTTGGCAGCTGCATGTATATCCATATTTGTTGGAGACACAAATTCCATTTACACACCGGTTATTAGAGCAATAATCTAAAAACATCATAACGAAATGGAAATCCATTTAGGGCTTGTTTGATTATTATGAATTAAATCACTACAAATCTTAGTTACATATACGAGCATAATCTATGGATGATCCTCAACACACCGATACTAAATTGGCAGTATTCGCCATTATATCCATTCTCGCATTTACATGTATAACCATTTTTTTTGGTAAGGCAATGTCCATTTTTGCACTGATTGTTGGAGCAATGATCTAAATTGTTAATAAAAAATTTCAGATAGCTTTAGAAATTATTTGAATATTTTAAATTGAATAATAGGGAGCTCTTCGTGTTTAGAAAAATCTATAGGAGATAGTTAAAATACCTAATTGACAATATTTGCCATGATATCCTTCTTTGCAATCACATTGGTAACCATTATCATTTGCAGTGCAGCGTCCATGCATACACTTGTTATTTAAGCAATGATCTATAGCTTGAATAATTTCAGAATAAAGCATTTGAAATATCTTTAGATATTATCGCTTTAAGTTGAGTTAAATTTAGTTTTTTTGATAGCTAAAATCTATCAACAAAAGTCATCGAATCAGGCTGGCATAGGATGATCATTGCATACAGATTATGCCCATTTTGACTTTCAATTGTTCGCATTAAATCTTACCTCCTTCTATTTTACTGCAATAGTCTAAGTAACAAGCCGATAGTTGATCCAGTTTGTACGAAACAGTACTAGAACAGCTTCGAATTCTAGTCGATACCGCAAATGAACATTCCTCTAGCCCAAAATGGAAGCAAATTCTTCCTATCTTATGATTGGGATTGCCTTCATATTAATTAATTTAAACATATCGTACAATTAAATCATCTGATATCCTATTAAAGTATATATCTGTTAAAATATAAGGCTTTATTAGTATTGTTACTTAACCAATGCAAGAAAGAGAAGTTTAGCTTAATTCTATCACATTTTCGTTACTTGCTCGAAACATTAATACTGCTGTATTAGAAATTGCTATTGATTGCAATAGATTATCTAGCTATTTCTAAAATTTCAAATTGATTGGTCCTGCATAACTTTTATAATCCATAATGTATTTCTGTCATTTAAATTTCTATTAACTATGCTAATCTGGGGCATTTACGATGACCCACCGTATTACGGTAATTTAAAGTTCTAACATTAGCCTCTATAAATAAATAGCTTACTATCGTGTGTAATGTTAATCCATTTGGCAATGACTGTACAATTTGGCTGACGATTGCTTTGATACCAGCGGATTGGATTTTGATTTGCGTTAGAAACAGATTGACAATGCTGTTGCATTTTACTCAATCTAAAAAAATTAGGTTTTGTTGTCAAGGAATTTCTAAACTTGATTCCATTGGTGGCACATGGATCTGTCAATCATAATTATTGGTAAGACATTTAAAGTCAGTATTACAGGATTTCAATTATTAGGATCCATTTGAAAGAATAAATATTGCAAACGCATAGCACATCTTGTAGCANAATAAATAAAACTGGAGACAAATCGTTGGCTTTCCAATTGGTGTCAATGCTAATTATTTTGCTCTTCCTACTTGAACATGTATGGTTATTAATATCAAGCTCCTGTCCAACTGGACAACTACAATAATAGCCATGAAGGATGTTGTGGCACTTATATTGACATCCACCTTTGTTATGCCAGCATTCGTTAATGTCTAATTTAAGATGAGATAATTTGTTGAGTTATAGTACAATCAAACGAAATAGACGGGCGCAAAGGAGTTTTCAGTAACAGTTTGACTGAAAATTAAATTTAAATTCATAGCCTGTCGTTCCCTTTATCATGCAAATTATTTTACCTGCATTACATCGTTTTCCAGTTATTCCTGGTAAACATTTACATGTATATCCATTTATGCCTTCGATACAGCTTCCTTTAATGCATGGATTAGAAGCGCATTCCTTAATGTCTAAAAAAATGGATAGAATTTTTAGATTCATAATTAAAAATTTCTCTAGCCAAATTACAGCAGGTTCATGTAAGTAAATATTTTTTTCTGTCACTTTTAATTGATGTTCTTACTATTATCTACTGAAATACATTCGACTCATTATTAACTAACACCTTGTTCCAAGTGAGCATTCAGCTGAATGATTTCAAAAGTTATTTTATAGAACTTAGTAATCAGTAATGAAGTTTTTACCATGTTCGCAGTGAGTTCCCTGAAATCCTGCTTCACAATTACAGCGAAATCCGGCTATAGTAGATCGGCAACTACCACTTATGCAAGGATTAGGTTCACAATAGTCTATAAATATACCGTATTGCAAAGATTATTTACCAACAGCGTTATTATATGTTTGGCATAACGTACAGCATGACTTTTAATAATAGATCTCTACGACTTTAAATTCGAAAAATATGAGTAAAATCATTAAATATGAACTTTGTACTCAAACGAGTACAAATACAGTACATACTAAATTGCTTAATTTGTGCAACTTTAAAAATTATGCTAACATACTAATTGGCATCTAAGACAGCAACTGATAGTGTACCTTACAGAAATCTTACCTTAACGCAAAATTTTAAGATAGTCCTCTAAAATACTACAAGAAATCGATGCCTTAGACTGAACAGAAGTACGTATAGACAAGAGATGCTTACCATATCGATCTGAACAGTAACGAAGATGACATGTCGGTGGTACAGGTAAATGATAAACATAATAGCTACCACAATTTTTGATATGTATTGTATTTTTCCAGCGACAAGAATTGGAATACCATGTAAAACAAATCGTACCATTCACAATGCCTTGATGAACTGGTAAAATTAATACGAGGGAATTAATTTCATCAATTTTTATCCTTTTAAAATAAGTGAGAACCTACTTACATAGCTATCAACTGTATGGAACTGAAAACACTATCTCAAATTCTAATCAAAACTCAAAGCAATAGTTGTAATGTTTATTTTACAATGAAATAAAATAAAAAAAAGAGATACATTAATACTAAATCAGCATTAGCAAAGTATCTAGAACTGATATTTGTAAAACAAATGCTTTATTTCAGATAAGGAATACCGTTTGTAAATTTAAGTTAGTACGGTATAGTATATAACCCACGCATGAACATTATATATATATACCCGATGTAGTTAACTTAAAGTCTATTTATGATTTACTTAACCTGTATAAATAATCTATTCGAAATTTTTACCTGTAGGATGAGTTGTTGAAAGCCATCCAGGTGAGAGAGTTCCACAATGTGACATGCTAACCTTAGTAGAAGTCATCATTTGACTATATTTGCCTCCATTAAATCGATACCAGGTTGACTGATTTTGTTTTAATATTTCACGATCACAACTGAAACCACGACGTAAATTTTTAACACTTCTTGTATTATCCTTGATATTCGTGTAGAATATGCATGGATCTAAAATCCAGGTATAAGAAACAAATTCGAAATTGAATTCCTTAATTTTTTTCGCAATAAAATAATTTGTAAAAAGACTAGAAATATTACCTACACACGTTAGACCATCCGACAGCAATACTCGTCCTCCCTCACATAAGCAACGGTAGCTGCCATTTGTGTTAATACATTTGTCTGCACATTTTGAAATTTTAAGCTTGCATTCATTGATATCTAGAAAAGAATTATGACAGCAACAACGTTTCGAATAAAGATATTGACAATCTTCATTGCGGATAGTATCATTTAATAAAAACTATAACTAAAGAACACGTATACGAAATCTTATTTTCCATGTATATTGCCACATACCCTGGTCACAATTATTTCCGGTGTAGCCTTTCCTGCATAAACATTGATAGGTGAAATCACGGGCTTGACAAAATCCATGGCGACATGGATTACTTTGGCATGGGCTAATCGCTTTATAGTTTGTTAATGAAGCAATATGTCAGTCTTTCTGTTGTTACGAATTTACTCAATAGTAACTATATAATACATTAATTAACCAGTACTATGAAAGTTCATTACGGCATCAATTTAACTAATATCAAAGAGCGTAAAACGCTATTATCTTACGATATTGGCAATTTTGACCAGTATAGCCTACTATACAGGTACAAGCATATCCTAAGCTAGTTTGAGTACAGGTACCATGATGACCGCAAGGCTTAGAATCGCAATAGTCTAGCAGTAGGTATTAGAAGCATATTAATATTATCCTACAATGTTTTGCATGTGCTACTAATGGCAGTATAGGAAATTATTACATAAAATTGTTGAAGAACTGAAAATACTATGAATAGATATCATACGATAATTATCAAGGTCCTACAAAAGGAACCGAAGTAAGACTTTTATTGGCAATCATCATTTCAATAAATATTTAATGGAAGCAGTACCTGATGCCTTAGATGATATTGGCAGTAAAGCTATAATCTAAGAGAAGGACGCATTAGTATTAAAGACTCATAATACTGGCATTAAATATCAAGAAACGCATTTAATGTATCACGCTAATGTCTTTAATGTCTCTGCTTAAGAAAAAAATGTTTAATCCCGAGGGTATAGAGCGTTTGAGGGGATATCATAGTACCGGTCATTTTTGCCAATAATATTTAAATGAAGCCGATATTTGACACAGTAATACATATTAGCAAATTTGTAGAAGTACTATTAGATTTACTGCTAAACATACACTCCATATTATTACTAAAGTTGATCTACTCTCTCTCCAACATCAGAATTGAGTATTAACTTAGTGTATAATGAGTGGCAATTTTTTCAGAGATATTTTCAGAGTTTTATCTTTCTTACCATCAGAAATTGGAGTTTATTGATCAGCATATCAGCATACTACATGCAGCAGCGGTTAATTTGGCAACAATTGAGACTGTGAAACCACGTATTTAATTTCGCATATAAAAATTGTACTTGGGGCTCTAATACGAGTCTGTAGATAATGCACTGTGATCGATCACAACGGGCAATTCAAAAAATATCTTCACGTCACTATAGTTGAACAGTATAATATACTTTACAGTTACTGCAAAAGAGACAAATTAGTTATTTTATAGATAACATAAACATAACTTTTAGCTCATTGCATCACAATATTATCAGATCAGTAATACGTTACGGACTGCAACGATCACAAAAGATTAATTGCATACATGAGGCCGTTGAAGCTGATCCACACGGCTAATACTTTGTGCATTGCTTGGATAGTTTTTATTTACTTAGTCTTAAATCTTACCCGGTTTATTATAATACCTTACAATTTTATTTACATGAGCATTTGATGGGCGGAGATGATAAGAAGCAAATACTTTAAACGTAAGCATCAATAATATTTAGAAAATTCTCCTAATATTTATCGCGATGTCTTATAATTTATTTTTAGTCCCAATGGGCAATCTTGATCTTTTCCCGCCCTTTATTAGAAGAATTTATCAGGGTAAACTGATTGGATTAATTTTTTGTGGCCTTTTAATAAATGCTTTAATGGATTTCTTTAAGGTATCCGAAAATAAAATTTACCATCTCGGTAATAATTATAATCTTATTTTTGTATTCAGTATTTTTTAAAAGTAAAATATAAATCTTTGAGAATTTCTGACTAAGGATCAAAATAAAGGGTCATAAATAGAGCAAATTGAAGGATATATCAATCCTAGCCAAACGATATTTTTAAATTCTAAGTTTAATATTGACCATTACGATTCTGTTGGTTAAAAATATGAGTAATCGTAAAGCGGCCAGTTTTGTCATCTTGACTACTCTATAACCGCCGATGCCGGATTTCAAGATTAAGAATATTTCACAGCTATAGATTTGTATAGAATTTTTAGTCATAATCAACTAGCAAGGTAAAATAGGAATTCTCAAACTTTGTACCGATAAGTTTATTTTGATATAGATCATGCTAAGGAAATTTATAAAAATTACAAATTTTAAACTTAATACTACTTTGTAGCCAATCTTTTAGCAAATACAGCAATGGAAATTATTAAGCAGGTTATGAAAATATGGATAATTAATGCATTCGGAAGATTGTAAATGGTGAGATATTATTATAGCAGCATGTTAAGTTAAAAGTAGCGTTTTAAAACCGAGAGTAGAAATCATTCATCTCCTTCAATTACAATTTTACAATATTTTAAATTTAGTAAACTTTATCAATTTTACGGAGCCTGTCATCATCGTAAATTCAATCCTATTAATAGAATTAGCTAATATCTCCCATATGTTAAAAGTTATCGGAAACAATACTAATAACTTTTATAAATTAGTGTCAAGTATGATGGAAATACGATCTAAAAACTAGATTTCAATTGAAAGATAGTGTTAAAAACAACGATCTGCGTAGTTAATGATATTGGTGAATGATTTAGTTTGTCAAAGTATCAGGTATATAACGGAATAGATCAAGTTAATATTACAGCTGTAGCACATCTAGACTTTCACCAAGATAAACCATAGCAGTTCTATGCAGTTTTCTCGTTAGAAGCAGTGCACAATTCAGTATATAACATATCCATATCATCTATATAGTACTACATACAACAAGAAATGTATGTTGCATGTTTTACACGGTAAATCAGTGTTATGTAAACAAGAACAACAACTACGATAATCTTCATTTGCTTATTTTTTGCAATTCATATAATATTCTTTGGTTATTAATAGAAATTTTGAATTTAGATTCAATACTAGCCACTATTACGCAGTCTACCGTTTCTTACTTTGGCTACTTCACCTATAGTATAACAGAAGCAAAAGAGCTAAACTTAAGAGTTATTCCTTAAGAGTTCAACCATAAGAGTTAAGCCTTAAGAGCTATTCCTATTTCTATCCGTCGTAATTGGTTGAAATTAACATCATGCTTTACTACGTCATTATTCTGCTATATCTGTTTAAATGCAATGTAAAAGTACCATTTTAGTATGAATAAATTAATAAAAATATCAGGTACTTATTATTAGATATCTTCAAGCAGCTAATTTTATGTCGCTATGGCTAATTTTATCTACTCTCTATAGATAAAAACATCATAGTGAATGCAGCAATAGTTGCGCGTGTATTTCTCTGAATTTTTCACTGTCAAATAAGCGTAACTATTAAATCTTAATATGAGATGATCTTATTATGCGTAACTGTGTGAAATTCATAAAACTTATTTTATTGTCAATATAAGTACTGTAGGTATATAATACATCAACTATCTTCGTGTGGCTAGCTGTCCCTTGCCTAGTTTAACTTATTTATTTTACAATGGATAAAAGTGCAATGAAGCAGTTTGTTATTAAGTGTAGATATTGCATACGCTGCAACATCTGCCTAATTATAATTTTCTTACATCAGTACCATCTCAAAACATGCGTGATAGTGCCGCTGTTATCGTAGTATTATCAAAAATTAACCAATACTTGGTATCGATTTTCTGCTGGAAATGTAAGCCAACAGATAGAAATTAAATGCATCAAGGGTATAGAAAGTGCTCTACGTTAGAAATTAGGTGGATGCGAGACAGTCATTCCAACGGTATCGACATGCAAACGTTACTTCTTAATAAAAGCAAAAGCCGTAATTATTTTTAAAGCTCTCAAAAAGTAATTAAATTATGTTAAGCTTGCCTCTATTTATGAATGTGAAGGACATTGACCTTATTTCAATGCTCTTTTATATATGTTCTGTAGTGTATTTAGAATATACTGTAACTATATTCTACTCTTAAATATAGACATGTTGTATTGCTCTTATATTTAGACAGATCTACAGTCCTCTTACTCTACATTCATATATAGACTACTGTATTTAGTTATTACGGTACTCGCTGTTTTCTACAATCATCTGCTATTTTGTAACCCCACAATCCTATTCTCTGCATGTGCTCTATCTTTAAAACTATAAATACCGGCGATTTCTACCTCAGAGTTCATTAGCCTCTCAGTTAGTCTTCTAGTTAGTCTCTCACAGTCTAATACTTCTACTCGTTACTCACGACAGCTTGCACGCTGATCTACCGTAACTACCTCACTGTACTTCACATTACTAACCTACAATAAAGCATAACTTTTATAAACCCTTTGTTGTAATAATTGTAAATGGCGACTAAATCTCAATCCTCTGAGATATCGAACCCTCCATCACATGTTCCATAACTAAAATATATTCTTCTTGGTATCTACACCCTGCTAGTATCCGATCTTGTGGTTAATGGAATCGTTTATTTTGACCTTAATGGTCAATATTGCATTCTAAATTTTATAATGCTAGTCAACAGATTTCAATATAAAGTTTAGCACTGCCTAACGGGATAACTTCAGTTTATTTTCATAAATAAATATATTTGGTATTACTAGATAGAATTATCTTCTAATTTATTTACCATCGCAATACATGGACTAGAATAGGCCAATCTAGGCAATATTTCTTCGCAGAGAAATCATATGTTTTAGTAAAAAGCTTTCCTGTATTACCAAAAAAAGTCCTAACCGGAACTTTAATAATTAAGATGCTCATTTGCTAAGCAAATCTCAAAATTGATCATAGCTTTATTTTGAAGGGTTCTTACTCTCGGTAAAGAATACGGCACCATCTGCACTTCAAAATGGAATAGACTGTCGATATTTTAGCTCATGAAAATATGTTTACAGCGGATATGCTACTACGTTGTGTGTCTTGTAGAGATGAACGCATCTACAATTAGCGTCCAGGTAAGGTGGTATATAAGAAATATTTGTACTGGTAAAGTCTGTGACAAAGAATTCAGGGCGCGATTAAGAACGTACCTTGCTTCTACTGCAGCTTTTGCATATGAATTTACTATTTATTCACATTTTTAGCTTAATTAACTTAATAGGAGTAATCAATTTTCAGACTATGCCGCTATAGAACTTCGACGGTAGAGTACTAAAGATGATATCGATATAAACTACCGCCATCTTTGGGGTGTCGTTTCCAAAATAGAATACATACATTTCTTAGCTTCAATTTTACTATTTGCTATGATTACATATCAATAACAGCTTCATATTCGATTTGCAAACAATTACGATAATATCCTATCTTATAATTTAGAGGAGTGTCCAAATGAGTATTTTGTTTACGTTTTTAATATTTATGACATCATCTTATTCTTCGATTATGTAGAAATAACAGTTTGTAATTATGTTTTAGCCAAAAAATACTGAAATTATATAATATCACATTTTGGCTATCATGGAAAGACATCATAATGTATTACTTTCTATGAAACTATGCAAGGAATTACCATTCTTAAAAGTGATATCTAAGACTGCTACTTAATGCATTTTTCTTTACTGCTACATGTAATTACATAATTGTGATCGCTCAAAAATAGTTCTAGTATAAAGGATGAAATCAATAAAGGAGACTATATATCGCAATAACACTGCTGTACTATAGACTTTGGGAGCCAAAGCAATGAATAATATCAGATATTCTAATTAACTAAATTTTTTTTCTAATCTAAGCAACATTGAACTAACATGTCTACCATAATTACTATTTTCAAGTTCATAATTTTTTTATTAACAACGTTGAAAATAACGTTGAAAATAACGAGGATGTTGACTATTTGATTAATTAACATATCCTAATATTTAATCCAGCTCCCAGCCGTCATAATGATATTGCCTATGCTTTATTTTCACAATGTCCCCCATAAAATCCATGCTGGCAGCGACATCTGTAATAAGCTCCTTGCAGGGGTACACATTTTCCACCATTCTTGCACGGCTTTGTTTGACAAACTCCTTTATCGCAGATACATAGAGGAAACAGGACGGTTAGTGAAGTAAAAGTTAGAAGATATCACTGGAATAAATTAGAATGATAATGGCATTAATTAAACCTGGAAAGCTTCCAAACCGATTTAATTCTTTATTACCTCATTAATGATACTTTAAAACTTTTTCGATAGATAGTGAATAAAATGATACTGAAGATCTTTAGCTATATAAAAATATCAAAGATCTACACCGTACTATCTCGATATTAAAGTATTTATTATTTTAAGACATTGTCAAAAGCGAAAACTGACGATCCTCCACTCAGATAAATGGTACAACATTTAAAATTAAAAACTTCTTGTCACATATAGTAATAGTTTGGTAAGAAGCGTATCTTATTTAATTTAAAAAAATTTCTCTATTAAAGCCTTCAAGATTATATCATCTGTAGGATGATTCCATATAAACTAACTATATTCACAATGGCTTCCATAGAATCCAGACTGGCAGCGACATTTATAATATGCTCCACCTGCAGGCTCGCAAGCTCCACTATTTTCGCAAGGATTTGTTTGGCAAACCCCTTCATTAAAATTAGATATATAAAATGTTATAATTGGCAAAGTTGTAAGACTATTCTTCAAAGTATTATAAGGGTACCAAAGGTGTGCTATGGTTTGCCTTATAGTTTTATGATCTTTACCATTCGTCAAGTTCATGAAAGTAGTTATAGTTTTGTAAATCATGAAATGATGACGATATGAACATCATTGAAACATACATTAAACATGCCTACGATTAAGATTCTATGAAGTTAAGATAAGATGCTAAATCTAGGCGCATTATAGAAATAGTTAGTGCTCCACTTTCACACTCTTGATTTATTTAATATTTCGTAATAGTATATGAAGTGAAAACTGTCATTGTTCGCTTTTAATTAGCTATATCGTGAGTTAAATCAAAGTCTTAAGGGTATATATGTATATTGCAATGGTAGTATCGATGAATGCTGCTAATCTAAATTGATGTATGAACGAACTTTTTCATGTAATATTTTTCTAGATAATCACTTAAAAGAATAATTACGGATAAACTAACTATAATCGCAAAAGCTCCCATAAAATCCGGACTGGCAGCGACATCTATAAGAAGTTCCACCCGCAGGTTGGCAAACTCCGTTATTCTTGCATGGATTTGTCTGACAAACTCCTTTATTTGAAATGTTAAAAATTAAATGCTATAGTCAGTAAATTTACAGGGCAATACAATTTATGAGTTTAATGACTCTCAATAAGCAAATGGAAGATTATTGCTATTTCTAAAATATTCGATAAATGCCTATAGCAACCGTTTACTAACTCATCAAGGTACTATATTTGTCATATAATCTGCTATTTTTCTAATAAAAGTTGAATTTAAGCTGGTAGCGATAGTATAATAAATCATATATCGATAATGATATGTATATTATTTATTCATCAATTTAGTCAATAAGTAACAAAGATTTCTTTTCAACCCTTGCATTTTGATTTGTTACAAATTATATGATATTTGAGATGAAAACAGACAATACGTGTATACTTTTCAGATCAATTACTGTGCACTATGTGTCCAACCCAAATATCGGCACAATATGAGGCAAAAGCTATGCTTTAGATATATCGTAAATTGAATCTAAATCGCTATAGAATTAATTTTTCACTTGATAATTCGAGATTATATCACATTATTGTTTATTGTACATTTACGTAAACTAACTATTTTCACAATGGATTCCATAAAATCCAGACTGGCAGTGGCATCTGTAAGAAGCTCCTTGCAAAGGCTCGCATCTTCCTTTGTTTTGGCAATCATTTGGTACGCAAATTTCTGCGTTCAAATTATTTAATATTAGGCAACATTGTCAGCAAAGAAAGACAGCAATTACCATTACGAGGTTAATTAATTCTGTTTAATTTTACTGTTAATAATTAGCTGTCGCCATTTAAAAATATCTGATCATAGCTTATAGTTGTTATAATTTAAGAAGTTAAATTTCTTGAGATTATATCATCCATTACAATATTTACGTATGTGAACTAACCTTTTTCACAATGGCCTCCATAGAATCCATCTTGGCAGCGGCAACTATAATAGCTTCCATGTCTGGGTTCGCATGTCCCGTTATTCTGGCAACGATTTACTTGGCAAACTCCTTCATTTGTTACGGGCAGTTAAAAATCGATATTGATATACCGCCAGTATTAATTTTTGTCTACATAACTACACACATATATGTAAAACATTATACTCCTAAACTTTAGAAATACTAGTATGAGCTTGATTAATGTATTGGTTAGTAATTAAACAAATAATATTTTCTATTCTAAAATATTTGATCTTGGCTTATTGCTATTAAGGTTTAGTAGCTAAATTTTCAAGATCGCACCATTTAGATATTTATGTACGTGAACTAACTTTTATCACAGTATTTTCCATAGAATCCGTCCGGGCAGCGACATCTGTAATAAGATCCCTGCAACGGTTCGCATCTTCCATTATTTTGGCATTTATTCTTTTCGCAAATTGCTTCATTAAAATATATAAACAGAAATCATTATAGCTAGTTAACTTAGGAATATTAGTATGAGCTTGATTAATGCATTGGTATGCAATTTGATAATAAACATCTCTGCTCTAAAATGTTTCGTCACGGTTTATAGCTGTTATGATTTATTAAGTTAAATTTTTCGAGATCGAATCAATGAATACGATATACTGTATATATTCGTATACGGAAACTAACTCTTTTCACAATGACTTCCAAAGAATCCAGACTTGCAGCGACATTTATAATAATTTCCACCTACAGGTTCGCATGTCCCGTTGTTCAGGCAACGGTTTACTTGGCAAACTCCTTCATTAATAAGCATACACATGAAATTTTACAGTCAACAAGAGACCAGTGCCGGTATTATCTTCATCAATTTGTTAATAAAAACTGAATGATGTACTATAATGTTCACTCTGTATTGAAATGATTGATTATTTATTGTTACAATTATGATTCCTTGATAAGCTATCTTTCGAAATTTTGTTATCTAATACTGCATTTACGGAGAAACTAACTATATTCGCAATGTCCTCCATAGAATCCAGATTTACAGCGACATCTATAACGAGATCCGTATACGGGTTCGCATGTTCCATTATTCTCACACTCGTTAGTATCGCAAACTCCTTCATTAAAGATAGACAGATAGGTTATTAAAATTATTTCTCAAATCTAAATTCTTTAAATAACGAGTAAATTGAATACTTTGTCAGCATTTTAGAGCTGATAAATCTCATTATTCTTAATGGAATGTCTAAATTCATTTAAAGTTTAATATCTGTATACTTATTTTGGTATAATAAAAGTTAGTGACAAATGAACAGCAAACCGTATTGGCAAAAGCCGCCATAATATCCATCTGTGCAGTTGCATTTATATCCCCAATTGACCGAAACACAACGTCCATTCTCACATTGATTCTTGGAACAGTGATCTAAAATACGCAGCGATTAGTCATAATGTCAATAGAAATTATTTGATTTTCCTAAACTGCAAACAGAGATCGTTCCATGTTGCTAAAAGCCTATAAAAGATCGTCGATTTACCTAATTCACAGTAGTTGCCATAATATCCTTCTTTGCACTTGCACGTGTAACCATCTTTACTCGCAATGCAAAGTCCATTTAAACATTTGTTATTAGAGCAACGATCTGAAGATTCTAATAAAATGAGAGTAGAAATATTATCTGATTATTCTGAATAGTACATCAATGAGATAATAGTTTGGCTGCTTTACTTGTACTAACAATTGCGTATTTTTTTATTTCAAACCATATGTGGTTATGTGCGTGTTATTAAAGTAGTGGCAGAACATTTAAATAAATAGTATTTGCATCATCGAGGATTATGTACTAAATTTAAATCAGTCCAGTTCTCTTTTAATTAAGCATTTTAAAATCTATCGGCAAAAGCTAGTGTACCCTCTTGGCAGTATCGACCAGAGTATCCTTCATTACATTTACACGTATAGCCATTTTCATTTGCAATGCAAACCCCATGCGAGCATTGGCTATTAATACATTGATCTAAAACTAAAGTAAATTGAAGGAAAGTATTAATAATTTTAAATTTAAGCGTTATTACGATAATAAAGGGAATAGTCTAACATGATGGTTCAAAAATTAGAAATATTAGATTTTATTTAATTGTATAGCGCTTTCAATCTTGCAGATAAAGATTCGAGATTTGTATTAATACCGGTATCGGTTTTAAATTCCATTAATTTAAAAGTAATATAATATTTAATCATCTTTATAAGTTAATGACCAAGTGTTGATACTGAAGATACTGTTACTGACAAATGGTTTTATTTAATAATAGAATGTCTACGAAATTTACCTGGCTGTAATGTATAAGAAATATAAGATAAATTCTTTTAAGCAGTAACTCTTAATTCATATACCTCTAAAAGACTAATACAAATTAGCTCTGTTCAGCTTCTAGTTACTCTTACCTCCTTCGATTTTACTGCAATAATTTAAGTAGCATGCCGATAGACGATCGAGGTTGTACGAAATAGAGTTAGAGCAGCTTCTAATTCTAGTCGATACCTCAAATGAACAGTGTTGAAGCCCAAAATGGAAGCATAGCCTTCCTATTTTATAATTGTCCTTACCTAAGCAGAAATAAATTTGATTACAATATGCAATCAAATCAGAAAACGTTGCGATAAGAAATGTTTTGTTAAAACATGAACAATTCCTCTTGCATTTTGTATTTGTTCCTTAATTTTTAGATCAATCTTGCAACTCTGAAGTACATCTACGACATAAATTTTTCTAAAACTCTACCATTGATATTTTAATTAAAGCTTAGTTAACTACTATTGACAAATAACTTACTGTTTTGGGTAACATTAATCCATTTGGCAAGTGCAGAACAATTAGGACGAACATTACCTTGATACCAGTTGGTCGAATTAGGACTTAAACCAGATACAGATTCACAATATCTTTGTATTCTATTAAGTCTATTATAATCAGGTCTAGTTGTCAAACTATCCCTAAACCTAATTCCACCATTAGCACATGGATCTGTTTATCACAATTGTTAGCAAAGTGTTAACAGCCAGTTGTTGGGGTTCAATGCCGAAATAAATATTGCCGAGGAACCGTATATTTCGTATCAAAACAAATGAAAATAGAAATATCATAAATAGTTGGATCTTCAAGTCTTGTTGATATTAATTACATTATTTAGTATACAGTACCTGAACATGTACGATTGTTACTATCAAGATCTTGGCCAGCTGGACAAGTACAATAATATCCGTGGGGAACATTATGGCAAGTACCTTGACATCCACCATTATTACGCCAGCATTCATTAATATCTAGTTTAGGATTAGAAAAATCATCGTATTTTAGTGATTATGCAAAAATGGATGTATGCATACCGTACTTAGTATTCAGTGTGTAAGTGTAGAATATTGTTTAGAACGTAAAACTTTTAACCAGCTTTTGACATATTTAGCTATAAAAGTGATTTTACAATAAGGAATACCTTTGCAAGACCTATAAGTATCAGAATCGTTTAATTTATGTTATTTCCTAAGTAACTGGCTTTACCTGCGTCACAGTGACTGCCAGTTATGCCAGGTAGACATTTACATTTATATCCATTCAAACCCTCTATACAGCTTCCCTTAACGCATGGATTAGAAGCACATTCTTTAATTTCTGAAATAGTAGTCAAATTACCAAGCAATAGGAGTTAATTTATACTATCGGGCTATTGTAGCTATACAAGGAAATTTAATTTCTTAGCTGCCTTAAAGTCAATTTAAGTTAGTGCAAAGAAATAAATTATATTTATCCCGGACAGTAGATATTTTACTCTGAATGATATTTCTTATGCTTTTGTAAGTATGAATTACGATTTTACCTTGATGGCAGTAAGTTCCTTCAAATCCTGCTCTGCACCGACAGTAAAATCCAGTCGAATTTGTTTGACAATTACCATTAAAGCAGGGATTGGGTTGACAATAATCTGTATACAATAGAGATTACAAGTTGTAGTCTACATACTATCACTGTATTGCCTACATAAAACTACTGTAATTAGCTCAAATCGCTACACAGGTTAATTGCATTAATAAACGTTTAATATCATTTGTAATGCAATCTTTTATAATTGTCAAATAGAGCTGAAAATAGTGCAATGCAAAAAAGAATATCGAAAGTGACTAAAATTACTGTCTTTTTAAGTATCTAACTTCTATCATAGTAGTAGTTAACTTCGCTGAACAGATTAAAAAAATTGCCATAACATATTGCTTAAATTAAAAGAATATGTAAAAGGATTAATTATCACTATCTCTGTCATTTGAATGGATTTCAGTGCGAACAATTAGCTTAATTGAGGTAGACGAGATAAAGATAGCGTTATTTACCATATCGGTCTGAACAGTAGCGAAGATGGCATCCCGGCGGTGGAGGTAATTGATAAACGTAATAACTACCACAATTTTTGATCTGAACAGTATTCTTCCAACGGCAAAAATTTGAACGCAATGAGAAACAAACTGTACCATTAATGACACCTTGACGAACTGAAAAAAATAATATAGATAGTAACATTATTATCAATTCTTGAAGCAAGAGATAGAGAACTTACATAGCTACCAAGCTGTCTAGAATTGAAAAGTCTTAGATCTTAACTTTGAGTATAGCTACAGTATTAACATCGCACTACAAACAGATCGAGTAATCGCTTGTTTTAATATTTTATCAATATTATAAGTGTAAGTATGTAGATTGATTAATGCAAACATTATATTGTGTTTATTAACTATATTATTATTATTTCGTGAGGGAAACGGCTTCTCAATATCAGCTAGTGCAATCGATTTTTTTACTAAATATTGCAAAGATGATGGTAATGTAAGGGTACTAAAAATGAACCATTTATGTGATGAACTGTAAAATAATTGCCAAAGATTTTTCTCTAGTGTAATGTATTGAAGAGACTACATTGCGAAGGAATTTATCAATCAGGAAGCTCGAATATTAGATGTGTAGGTTAAGTTTACAGAATTGTGTAAAGTATACCCAGCTACTGTTTTATATTACTGCACGTTAACATGTTTCAGTAAGAGGAGATTGCTAGTCAATCTGAGCTACCGTACAATTAAATTTAATCAATAACAGCATACTAGGTCTATTTCCTACGACTGATTTTAAATTGAGTAAATTGCCTAATATGAAGTTCTACCTGTAGGATGAGGTGTTACTAGCCATCCAGGAGCATTGGTTCCACATTGATTCATCATAACTTGTCTGGTAAGCATCATTTGACTATTTTTACCTCCATTAAATCGATACCAAGTGAAATTCTGTTTTATTATTTCATAATCACACAGGCTGAGTGTGTAACCTGAATATTTAATGCTTCTTGTTGTGTCTTTAATATCTCTGTAGGACATACATGGATCTAAAAATGTACAAGAATAGATGGAACGATTAAAAATCCGATATTTTCCACAATAAAGTTATTCGAGATAACAATGCAGATGCTACCTATGCAGGTTAGACCATCTGGCAGTAATATACGTCCTTTCTCACAAGAGCATTGGTAGCTACCGGGTGTATTAATGCAAATACCGGGACATCTTGAAATTCTCAGGTTGCATTCATCAATGTCTACTCAAAAATAATGAAATCGCTGCATTTTAATCTAATCATTTCGTAAACAGTATATCAGTGCAAGATAACAGCATCCATAATAAACTATTGCTAGAAATCGGTGTGTAGATGTGTTCATTTTAACAATCATATACCTTGATCACAGTTACGTCCTGTATA